GGACATAAATCAACATGGCTGCAATTTTTCATATTAGATCTCATTTTTCACAGCGGCCAATTAGTCTGAAGCAGCTGGCAGCAACACGCACATAGTCATACTTGCTGTATGCTTTCTCACAAACACACGCACACACACAGACAGTGAGGAGACGAGAAGGCAGATATCTCCTTGCTTCGTCATGCAGAACCTTGTTTCAGTGTGTGTGTGTGATTGACAGAGAGGTGGTGTGATTCTTCTAGGAGGCCTTTTGCAGGTCAGATGCGCTGTCAGTTACACGAGACCCATTAAGCTAACTTCAGCACCAAGGCAAAACACACAAACACACACATGAAAGGGAATTATTCAGAGTGCACATCTACTTCTTTCTCCCTCTGCCGTTATTAAACTTTGATTTGTCTCTAAGCAGCATTCATTCTATAACAGTCTCAATTTTTAATGCTCATTGTGCTGATGAAATGTAATGATAATGAAAGCGCATGTGTGTACAGTAAATAAGTGCACGCATATTAAGTTTGTAGAAACGCTGTGTGTGTGTGTGTGTGTGTGTGGTTGAGTCTTGGTGTGAAGGCATCTGTGTGTGTGTGCCGAGTCTGAGTGCATGCTCCAAGTTAATAAGTCAAGGTGTTAGCATTAGCTTGCGGGCTGGTACAGGATGCTACAGGGATAGCAGTGCCTCTCTGCTTCCTCTACCATGCTGTCAAGGCCTGAGGCTGTCTTACTATATCCTCCACATAGTCAAACTGACTCCTCTTTCACTCCCTCAAGCATCATGAGCATTTTCACTTTTTCTTTCCTGGATAACTTTTCATCACCTACTTCTGCCTTCTAAAAGTAGCTGCTGTGGTAGCAGTCTATGCAGAAGACTTTGGAGTGTTACACCTGATGCTCTTTCCTGTATTTTTTTTTTCACAGACGTGGGAAGGTGAAAGCTGCTATGTTCATTTATTTATTTCTTCTTGTGTGCTGAGGTAGTCTGACCTAGCAATCAGGCACCTTCGGCTAAAAAGCACGACATACTACCAATCTCATGAATCTCATTTCAAGCCTGCTGCTTTTCCTTACAAAGCAAAATCAGTCTGATATGTGACAACTGTGACCCATTTTGCTTGTCTGTTTTTAAAGAGTGGAATGGCAACCTAATCACATCCTGTACTTCTACAGAACAGCACTGTTAGCGCTGCGTTATAACAAGAAAGTCCTGGGTTTGAATCTGCTGGTCTGTTGGGGTCTTTCTGTGTTGAGACTGAATGAAACCCCTTTGGCTGCTTGTGTCCTCTCCATGTGATTCAAAACTGGCTGATTGATGTCCATCTCTCTAATTTAGGCCTGTGACAAACTGGCAATCTGTTGCAGGGTCTCCCCCAAACCCAAACTGCATGAAGCCCCAGTCTCATAGACCTAGAAATTCAACAACCATATGGCAACCACCAGGCAAAGGGGAAAAATGGTAATTCTGTGACCTGTAGGTGAGTGATTGCTGTGATTGTGATTGTCTCTGTGAAATTTGCAAAATCTCCTTCATTCAGAGAATGTTTGTCTTAAGTGAAACTAGAGCCATTCGCGCAACTTTTACTTGCTGAAGGCGAATGTTTTCCATTCTCTGTGTTGCACTTTTTCCAAGTTTCACTACAGCTGAAATAGTTAAAGGTGAATGTTTGTAGACAAGATGGCACTTTTCATACATACTACACTTTCCTATGGGAATCTGCTAGCAACCAAAGTAATCACATGGAGGTTTTTGAGGCACCACTCTCTTTGTGACCAATTTCAACTGGTGCTTGAGGTTGCAGCAATCGCCTGCAACCTTTAACAACCACTTGCAAACTAGTCAAGGAATCCCTGGGGAGGGTAACCAATCAGTCTGTAGGCCTGTGTGACAGAGGACTAAGTGGTTAAGATAATGAATGAATGGACGGATGGATGAGTTTTTTCCATCGGTTTCACTTTTCCAGTTAGTGTTTGTGTGGTAACCCTAAACTGGATACAACCATTTAATTTGTGGACTCGGGTTCATCATTTTGGCCATACTTAGACGAGGGAGTAAAGCTGAAATTCACTACACTGAATTTTGGCTAATGAAAAAACAGGAAACAAGAAAACTGAAAACACATTTCATAATTTTGATCCTTTAACAAATGAGTTATAAGAAAGAAATCAGTAGATTTTTCATAATAAAATGCTTTAAACTTTGTTTTCTTATTGTCAGGCTTTGAGCCCATTTTTTTTCTATAAAGGGAGAAAGGTGCCCATCCAGACGTTTCATCATTGGGTCTACTGGCATTGACCCGTATGTGGAAACAGCCTCAAATAGAAACTTATTGAACTTGAGTTTTTATGCATTTCAGTCTCCGCTTCACGTGTCAGCCTTAGAGGATGCTGCCTGATTATAATTTACTGTTTCTGTCGCTGGTGTTTGCTCTACATTACAAAAGTTCTTCCTAATCTTAAAGAAATATTTGAGTTTCATGAAAAAAATGAAGAGAATAGTTTAAAGAATAATGTACAGAAAAAATCTGAAGAAATATTGAGGCAGATTTGAAGGAAGGTGACTAATCTCAAAACGTGGATAGGCAACTTTTGTCTTTCTTCTGGTTTTCTCTTTAATGGTTCTTTTTTCTGCTAACCTGCCAGCCAGTCTTTTGTATCCTCACCTCTTTACCCATAATATAAATAATCTCTCTTAATCACCTCCCGTTCAGCTGGCCTTACATGTTACATCAATACTGTTAGAGCTGAAGAGTTTCTGTTGCATGCACTGCTGCTAACTGCTAGCTCCAAATAAATATCGAATATCACTCCTTACGCTGTTCTTCTTTCTTGCTTCTCTCTCATGTGTGCAGCTGTCATGTTAATTTTCTCTCAACTCTAAGTTCATCCCTGTGTACGTATATTCCCAGACGTGTCACTAGTGTTTTCAGGCTGTTTGATTTGACTTTCTCGCGCCCTCTTTTTTTCCCCTTCCTTCCTCCAAACTTTGTGTTTTTCATTTTTTTACACTATTTCTGTCACCCGCCTTTTTCTGTTCATTAATCATTAATATTTTCACTCCCTTTGTTCCTCCTCGGCATTTTTCATCTTTCAATTGTTTTTTTTTTCCTCCCTGCATCTCTCTATACAGTATACACTTTCCTTACTCTCTCCCTGTCTCTTTACTTCTCCACCCCTCTCCTTCTCTTTTAATCATATTCTTTTCCTCCACATTAATTCCACCTCATTATATTCACCTTACTAAGGAGCTTTTGGAAGTTAGCCTGCAGTCGGTCTCTTTCTCTTGGTCTCAGGTGGATGGGGACTCATTATGCAAACCCAAATATCAGTTTAACCCAGTTACAGCACTGGGAGACGCCTACGCATATGGACACATTATAATTACTCCCCTTTTTTGTTGTTTCTCAGTAAGCCGGCTTCTTTAACCTTTTACTCTCAAACCTCAGCTATTTTACATTGAATGTCTACAACGGTCAAAACTTTAGACCATTTTGCCTGGCTCGGAGGCTAGCGCACAACAATGGAAAATACTTTTTGGTGTGTTACATTTTGTCTGTTAATCTATTCATTTTACAATATTCACATCACATCAATCCTTTTTTAGCATTTTTGTAGTTGTTTTTTGGGAGCAGGGTACTATGACTATTAGTTTCACCTGTAGTGAAAAAGTTAGCAGTGATGTTGTGTCTTCACATTTAATAAGAGACTTGTTAAATGTGCTGATCTTTGTTTTAGGTGTTACAAATTCACATATTTCTGGGACCATGTTGCATTATTCTGTAGCTGTAAGACCGAGGGTGGAAAAAAATGCATACTACATTTACCAAGACGTTGGTTAAGGCAGGAGACGGGACAAAGATGGTGAAGCAATCTTAAATGTATTTATTTATTTTTTTATTTTTTTTTTTTTTTTAGGGGGGGGGGTCATTTAGGGGTGGGAGGAGCATTATGTCACAAAATGATCTGACTGTACAAAGAAAAAAAATGATGCCGCAAAAAGCTACCCACTGCTGCAAACACGACATCAACGCTCTCTAACGGCACACAAGAGGAAAAATATGATGGCAGCCTCACTGCAGCATCGCAGACCACTTACAAGCAGGTGCAAAGACTAACTGCAACACCCTCAACATCTGCACGACCGCTTTCAATCAATGCGCAGGTCGCATGGTGGGAAGCAACCTGTCTCCACATAATCAGGGCCTGACTCAGATCGACTGCAGTCACTCTCATACAGATTGCCAAGACATCTGCAATCAGTCTAAGTCTTTCTGAACTGAGGAGTGCAACTTGTCTGCAACACATCTCTTTGCATTATAGGACTCAATTTAGCTGGTTGCTAACCGGCTCTACTTACATCCCTATATAAAAGCAAGGTTGCCAAGTTTCTATATAATTTTTCAGTTAAATCATCTTTTTTGTAGCAATTATGTCACCATTTGTGGAGGAATTTCTGAATTTCTATTTCAAATCTATGGCTGGTTCTGGCTGGACTGTGAATGTGAGTAGTGTATTTATGTACATGTGGACGGTAACAGATTTGCAACAGGTGGAAACAGACTTGTAATTTTTCATGATTTATCGGTTAACTGTTGTGTTATCACAAACAGATTATAAGTAATTGCCAAACCTCATGCCGTTTTATCGCTGTCTTGACATACCAAAATTACTTTGAACAGTCACATTTCACTCGTGCCACGGTCTCCAGTAACTGTTTTCCTTAGTGTGACGCTAGCATGAAAACGACATACTAACACTTATATTAAATTTTTTTTTTTTTACAAACCTACAACATTCGTACATGCGCGTTCATCAAGCCAATAATGGCACAGTTTTACATCACAAGTCAAAATATTAGTAATTTTTTCTTGAACAAAAAGGTTGTTTTTAAAAATTGCTAATAACTCGAGACCCCCATCATACTGCATGTTAGTTTACATCTGTAAATAGACGTCTCTATACTTCGCTTCAATCTCAACTGCAAAGCCCACACCATCTGCTTCACTCACCGGGTTCACATAGACAGGTGTGCCTCTCCCATTGGTCGGAACAACGGCTATGAGCTGGACAGGGAGACGAGAGGCAGGGATTACCGACACTGCAGCCAGTTTCCACTTTGACAGCTCTAGAGGGGCGGGGCAGAGCGGGGGCGTCCGGTCTCACGCCCAATCGAACGCCCTGTAGGAAGAGAAAGTGAGGGTCACGTTACCTCGACACAACACACAAAAACAATAGCAGCTGTATTAGCGTATTCACCGGCCTATCCCAGAGTCATTTTTTACTTTTATTTTTTACCTTCACTGTATGAGTTAAAAACGCCATCCTTTACCTGTATGCATCCTCTTATCCCGTTCTGAACCTCCCCAGATCCCAGCACTCCTCCAACATGCAGATGTTTCACCTTCAAACCATGAATCTCATTTCCCACTATCACTGTTCCCTAATGGGGAAAGAAGGAAAGAGGTGGGGGAACAGATGGAGACAGGAAAGGAAAAGAATATGATTATTAATAGCAGCAAACACACTCAGCTATGAAGGGTAAAAAAAAATAGTTACAAGCAAGTGACCATCAGTAAAAACATAATTAAAAAGATGTTTCTGTTATGAGTTTACATCAAAATGAACTGAAAAAGATACGATTTTTTTTTCCTGGAAGGATTATTGATTTCCAGAAACCGCTATATTTTTATTTACCGATATATCAGCGAGCAGCGCCAGGTTATTATGAGGCTTGTGTCAGTCAAATAGAAGGGGAGGTGGAGAGGAGCGTGAAAGGGATTCGACTGAATGATTGGCTTCATTAAACAGAAGAAAACCATAATATGCAATCACTGCAGAGAAGGTCAATGCTCAAGTGATAACTCCAGCAGAATTGTGAAGAAATGTTGACAGGCAACTTGCGAGGATCATGAAAGCAAAATCAATGAGCCGCATTCATCACCGTTTCAGCAGCAGTAGAAGATGCTAAAATGGAAGCTGAGATATGTCTGATAACAGCGGCACATGTGCCAAAACCCCTTTCAAAGGCAACTGCCGTTTAATTGTTTAATAATTTTGTATTTGAAATGTTTTTCTGCACCATTTGCTCAGTGTGCTACTTGATGCACTTTGGAGAATAGCCTGGTGAACTACAATGAACAGATAAAAGACATAACGTGCTGGCAGACGATTTAGGGAATAGCACGACATAAAAACACGACAAAGGCTGTTCGTGTTTGCTTAAACCGAGCCAAAAATGATTATAATACGGACGGTGGTTGTGCACGTGCTTCTCTGCGTTCATGTCACTGCCACATATGTACAGACGCATACATCATACGAGCGCATGCACGCAAACAAACATCGCACAGTACAATCTGACATAATAATCCACCGGAGATTAGTGAAACGAGGATTAGAAGCCCACATCTTGGGGAGTCTGACGCTTTGCAGGATTATAGAAAAACCTGTATATGTTCTAAACATTTATATGTATGTGCGTATGTGTTTCTTTGAGATAGGCTTTGTATTTCTTTTAAAAAGGCAGGATGTTGTATAACACTGTCAAGGATTGTTAGGCAAAGAATGGAAGGAGGGAGAAGTAACAATGCAGTAAGAAATAAAAAGATAGGAAGATAACAAGGTTTACTTTTGATGAAATATACTTGAAATGTACTATGAATATATCTTAAGACGTATGTGAAATACGTTTTTGTATGTTCCAAAGACTTTTTTCATGTTGTGCGAATTATACCCATAGCTCATATGTAAGGTAAATTAAGGAAAATGAACTCTGATATTAGAATCTCAGCTAAAAATTTAACCCTGCCAAACATTGCTTTCAAAAACACAGACTGCAAGAGTACTTTATTAAGCACCTGTTGACCAAGCACGCCAAAACCTTGCTATTTCCTTTTAGCTGCTATGTATGCCAGTATTTTTAAGATTAGACATGAAAACCTTTTATTTCAATAAAGCTTACAGTTAGAGCTGATTAGGTGACCCTGAACTACCTTCTTCTCATGTTACAATGAGGTCAGTCTGCTGAAGGACTTTCTGTAACGCGCTGATTATTTCTTCTCCACTGACGTCTTTTTCCCCTCCATGTGTTTATACATCACTGCATATCATTACATGTGTCCTCCGTCTCCCTATGTTCTTTTTTTTACTTTTCTCTCCAACCCATCCCTCAGCCAATTGCAGCACATGGCTGCCCTTCCCTGAGCATGGTTTCATCCTGTTGAAAGGGAGTTCTTCCTTCCCACCGTTGCCTAGTGCTGCATACAAGGGGTCGTCTGATTGGTGGTTTTCGCAAAAATTCACCAGCCCAACCTACAATAAACTAATATCTTTCTTAATTTAAGGAATTCATACAATTGGTTATTTATTTATTCATTTTTAGCATCCTAAAATACATCCTTCATCGCTTTGGCTCAAAGCAGGAAGTGAGAGAGACGTCTGTGCGTATGGGGACATTCTGGATTAGAGGAAATTAAATAGGTTTGCTTGCCTCTATTCATATCAAATGCTTTAAAATTTCAATTAAGTACTTCTCTGGCGATTACACCGAATAATATAGCCCATCAAGGAGCTCCATATTTCAAACAGACAGAATAAATGGAGAATTACAACTGGGAAAAAAGAACTGCCTCTTCTAATTTGAACACAGTCAAAAAAATTAATTTTTAAGCCAAATTAAGCCTTATTGATTTCATAAAGCAGATATGACAAAAAACCTTCCTATTCATTTAAACTATGCTTGCAGGATAAATTTAATATTTAATTTACTTTTTTTTTCAAGCTATTAAAGGACTTTAATTTTCTCCCCTTTAAAAAAAATCGACTGTACTATGTGCCTCTAGTGTAAGTGTGCTCCCTGATAGCTGGACATTAAAGTTGGATTAAAAACGCTTTGAGATTTCGATGATAATTTGCACTACCTGATAGAGTCCAAAGTCCAGCCGCAGTGTGGCGACATAGCGAGTCTCGCGGCCACTGCGAACGTCTCGCAGCTCCAGCTGGAGGTCGTGCCACCGGCCGTCTGCCACTTGAACCTGATCCAACCGCAAACGCACCGGTCTGGTTGAGCCGCGGGTCACCGAAAAGACCAGCTGACCATTAATTACCTGATGAGAGCGAGAAGAATAAATGAATAAATAAAATTCGCAAATCACATTAAAAGAAAAACAAAAAGAAGAAAAAAGAGGGAGAGGGAGAAAAAAACGATCCACTGCTATGACTGTGTGAGTGTGACTGTGTCGGAGCGTGAAATCCGACGTCTTGGCTCAGCTTCCACCGAGATTCTGCTCATTTAAAACGCTCTTTGGATTTAGCATCTGAAACTTAACGTATATAAACAAGATCAAATTGTGTTTAAGCCTAAATGCAGTTAAAGCTTTTTGAGTTTCTGGTGATGGTGGAAAGGTTGGTGAAAGGAAGGGCACCATTTATAGATGTACTCACAGTCAGTGTTTCAGAGGGTGAAACATAAGAAGCTCCTTCAACACCAGATATGGATACTTTTAAAGAAATGTGAACTGCTTTCAGACTCCATGGAGCCTGGTGTTATTTAAAAGGGAACAGTAGTCCCAGCTGTAGACTCTTTTATTGTTATTAAAATGTAAACCACTGAATTTCCACTAATACTACTTCTTCTTCTTTTGGCTGCTCCCTTTAAAGGTCGTCACAGCAGATTATCCCAATACATCTCAGCCCATCCCTCCCCCGTTACATCAACCCTCTGCAGCTTTATCTTCAACATCCTCAATATCCTTCCTCGGCTAACCATCTCGGCCTTGCCTCTTAAATGTTAAATGTGTTCGTGCCCACCTGGAACACCAGGCTGATATACTGGCCAGCCTGGGCCTGCAGCAAAGTCCCTTCACGGGCTCTGGTTCTGAACACCAGGCCGAGGTACCAGGGTGCGGAGATGGTTACGTCATTCTTCAGGTCCCACCAGAGGGCGCTGTTACCCAGAAAGCGGTGTACGTGTGTCATCACTGAGGCGAAGAGAAAAAAACGAAAATGAAAATTAGTGAAATTTCCGAAACAATTTCCAGATGATACTGTTGTCCTTATCCGTCAGTCTGCAACATAATTCTTGTAGTTGTTCACTTTAATATTGTGCGTTTTTCAAAGCACATGTAGCATCAATGGACTATTGGTTTGGTGGTTTGAAGGACAAACAGACCATGTCTGTTCGGGCATGACGTGATCTTTAATGCATTTCGTGCCCAAACAGCTTCCTCAGTTGTTTGCTCTCTGTTGTTTAATTACCAATCAAAAGTATAAAAGCTTCCAAAATTAAATGATGAAACATATGTTACACTGCAGTCTCTGAAGTACAAACTAAGTCCCAGAACTTGTGAACATTTGTCACTGAGATCAATAAACACCATGTTTTTTCTTTTCTTTTTTTCCCCTCAAGTGAATCTTGCCGCTTTATTTCCCCTTAGAGTTGGACGTCTGTGCTCGCAATCAAGACATGCCAGTAAAAATAAATGAGTAAAACCACCTGGGCTAGTGAATGTCCACTCATGAGAGGGAAATCTCTAAAGGTTTATTACGGTTCAGTTATACACAGGAAATACAGCCAGATATCTAGTAACAACTGTCTCATGGGCTCAATTTATTCTTAGCTCAGTCTGTTGGACTGTATTTTTCCATCATCAATTCTTCCTTTTTATTTAAGACGGTGCATTCATATTATGCAGGTCAACTCTCACTGAGCCACATTAAGTGAAAAGGTGTTATCTGGGGCATTTAAGCTTAGGTAAGCTGTGAAGAAATTAATGAAGTGTTAGTATAATTACAGCCGAAAAACAAAGTCCTGTGAAAATCAGTTTTTAAAAATAAAACGTTAAAATCACAGCCACTGCTAGAAAATGCTCGTTCCACCAGCAACTGGCACGATAAAATTAACATTGTTAAAGGTTGCTATTAGTGTAGTTACTGTAGGGCTACGGGATAAGAAAAATCCCGGCCTCTTACCGTGGCTGCAGTCCTTCCCACCGTATCCTAGGGGACAGTCACAGGAGAAAGTCTCCCAGCTCACCCTGCAGGTTCCTCCGTTCTGACACGGATTGGACTTACAGAAGGGATATTTGGCACTGCAGCCTAGTGGAAGCAGCAGAGGTCACTGAAGTTATAAAAATGAATTGCAACATACTGTACATGATAAGTCTTCATGCTGTCACTGTGAGCTTTATAACATTACCCACACACACAAGCATTTTCAAAATAAAGTTCAACCGATTTTTTGGCTATTTGTTGATCTGTTGGTATCATAATGACACCAGGAACGACAAATACCTACTATGACCAATAAATGATCAAATTAAAAGGTAAATAAGACGATGGAGAAACACCCTTCAACCATGTAATGAGTGTTGATGTTACACTGTTTGTCCATCAGAGGGACCTCTACAAGTTCCCTGTTGCCAACAAGTCTTTGGAACGCCAAACACAACAACCACTGGTCAGGCAAAGCGTAATTAAATAAATAATTGACTAAAACAAATGTTAAGGAAATGTTTTTCTAAAACTAAAACTCCTCAGTCAGAGTAATTTAGGGTGTTTAAAGTTTTCAGTCTAGTTAAAAACACTCAAAATCCAATGAAAAGTGGTGATCATCATTTTTATATGTTCAAGTGCATAGTGTGGAGGATGTCATAAGGCCTTGAGGCAATCGGATGTAAAACACAATATTTCTGAGTGTTTTATCTTTAAATCGGACAGATTTGCCCTGAATGCAACTGGAAGGTTAAAAGTCCTTAAAAATACGATATGAAAATGAAAGATATGCAAACAGTTACACATAGTAACACAACAAAACAACAACGTATAATAAATGTTTTCCTTTCATTTCACTGACTATAATAAAAAGTAATGCAAGCACCCAGTCCATCAGTGAAAATCCAATTTCAGTGCAATGAAGCCTAACTATATATGACTATATGTGAAGATGTGGCTCTACCCCATTATTGTTTCCTATAATATTTAGAAGCACAAAGTGGTTCGTAGCACACAAAACCTTAAAAGCTACTTCATTTAAATACTTTAAATAAAAATAAATTTTGTTTGTGTGTGTTTTGCCACAAGATGGGTGAAAAGGCTATTGAGAAGGAGCTAAATGTTACTAATGCACAATAATACATGTTTGAAGGAAAGCAAACATGGTTCCCAGCACTGACCAGGAAGCGTTCCATTATTGGCGATAAATCCAGCCATGTCCAGCGGTTTGCTATCGATGTGCAGCTCTTTCATGCAACCGATAAACTCCCTGGTGCCAAAGGGAAAGTTGTCTGGCACATTAGGGACTCCACCCAGAAATAATGGACCAGTCAAGTCCAGAGACCTAAGAAACACAAAGATAGAAAGCAATATGAGTAAATATAGTGGAGAACAAATGGGGTTATGGAAGAAACACAGGATTATTCTTCTTCAAGTAAGAGAGGAAGGAGAGAGGGATGAAAGAAGAAGGGGTGAAAAGAAGGAAGAACATGAAAGAGGGTATGAGAGAGGGATTAAACAAACCTAGAGATTAAACATGTCATCAGAGGTAGATGAAATGTGTCATCATTCAGAATCGAAATCACAGAAAAGCAGGGGATGTTAAGGATAAATTAGATGATGGTGTTTTTAAGGTAAAGAAACAGAGAAGGGAAAGACAGATTGAACACAAATACTCTGAGAAAGAAAAGGAGACAGATGAAGAGACGGATGAACAAACAGGAGATTAAACAGGAGTTACAGCAACCGTCTTGAGAGAAGAGGTAGAGGTGGATGACAAGATGAAGAAGGAGAAAGGAGACACAATAAAAGGTGGTAGATAGAAGTGCAGCTTGCTCTAGGAGGAAGAGGGGGAAATGGCAATGCCAAAGGAAGAAAAAAGCTTGAAAGATAGATGAACAAACAAGAGATTAAGTGTGAGTTACACCAAATGTCAAGAGGCAGATGATGAGACAGACGGTATTGGGAAGGAAAGAGGGAATACGAGGAGGAAAATTTCGGAGGGATAGAAAGTGACAGTTACGGGACTGCGCTGAGTGAGAACCAAAGAGAGACAAAGTTTTGTCAGCAGAGGACGTCACTGGCAGAGAATGTCAAGACTGAGCAAGAGGCGGGTGGAGAAATGGAAAAGGAGCAGGAGGAAGAGAAGGTTGACGTGTTAGTCTTTAGCCTTCCTCTTTGATCCGTCTTCTTTTCCCTCAGCCTCACTTAGTGCTGACAGACGCGGCAAACATGATTACAGCTTACAGAGGCCAGACATCAACACTATGACAGGCTGCTCTTTCAGTCCATGTGCGGATACGCTTTATGTGTATGTGTTTTCTTGCACTTGTTAGTATATATGCAGACATTCGTTGGTTAGACACAAACTGTAGCTGAGAAAGAATGAACAAAAGTTCGACAAGGTCAGATGGAACAGGCAGTGCAACGCATTTAAAACCAACAATTTGGATCTTTTAGTCACACCTAAGAGATTGTGTGTGTGAGACGGAGAGATGAGCGGAGATAATGAAAAGAAACGAACATATCCGTGTAGCAGAAATGAGACGCCTGGTAACAAGACCATCAGAGAGATACAGACAGACATGAAGGAGCATAGAGACGTCAAAGAGTCGTGCCTCATTAAAGCCTTGAGTCCCCCGCATAGTTCCCCTACTGTCACCTCATCACCCTGATCGTTACTTTAAAATCCTGTCAGATTTCTAAACTTTCAGCGCGTTTTTTTAACAGATGTACATGTAACACCTTTCTGTTTTCTTTACAAAATATTGATCTCTGCTGTAGGTAATTTTCCACGACATTTGCAATTACAAGCCTGGATAAATATTTTGTTTAAACTTTAGCATTTCAGATGTATGAAACTTTAATTGGTAATTAAGCGAACACAGACATGCTCGGTGAATGCATGTAAATGGTAAATGGACTGGTTCTTATATAGCGCTTTTCTACTCTTTCTGAGCACTCAAAGCGCTGTACACAACTTTTACATTCACCCATTCACATTTTTCTAAGTGCTTTCTAAGGTAACATTCACACACACATTCATACTCCGATGGATGCATCGGAGAGCAATTTGGGGTTAGTATCTTGCCCAAGGATATTTGGCATGCAGACTGGGGAAGCCAGGGATCGAACCACCAACCTTCCGATCAGTAGATGACCTGCTCTACCACCTGAGCTACAGCCACCCCAATGTAATGCTGCTACCCTCAGTCACTTCACACACTCACTTTACTTTACCTTTAGATAGCTTAAAAAGCTACCAGCTGGCCAGCATGTTGCTCATAGCTGCACATAATGACCAGCTTTATTGGTTTTCTACTCAGTGGAAATTGTCTTTGAATATCTGTTAAGCCTCTGTTCAGTCACAGATTATGTTTAATGAAAGTTGTCTTTGCAAAGAAGCTGGCAAATCCTGTGCAAACACCTCCCACAGCTCTGGGTCAGTTACTATTCATCCTTTCATTTGCAATGCTGCTGGCAAAAGAACAAATTTACCTGCAGGAATTCATCCTAAGGTTCTTTTTTTTTTAATTAATAATTCAATATTTATTTATCATTTTGACCAAAAGATTTCATAGATTCATTTCATGTTAAAATATTAGTTATCTCAGTATGAATATACCAAAGCTTATGCTATAGAACAAGCTACAGTGTTACACTGTAGTCCTCCTACGCTCTGCTTCAACGTCTTACAACTGAGAAATTTAAGTCTCTGAATTTAAGAGCCTGAATTCAGTCAAACGGTTGTGATAAAAGCTAAAGGATGCGATACTTATGCTTCCTCTCCAGCTTTGCCACAATGCCTCTCTTACAGCGCTAAAAGCAAGCAAACCCAGCTTACATTAGCTAGAAACTGAGTCACCCGATCACTCAAGTCAGCAAACGGCTGTTTCCCACCGAAAATGAAGATTCAAAAGTGAGCTGCGTGCAGATAACCAGCTAGTTGTAGCCTGGCTGAGCAGTTTGTATCTGATATTAGCATACTGACACAGCATAAACACTGATCTCAAAGTCATGGCGTGTGCCAGAAAGTACTCCTAGCATGCTAGCGCAGGACAGTCTTTTGTACATTAGCTCACACATATTTTGAAACACAGTATGAAGTGGGGTGTTTTCACACCTAAAGTTTGTTTACTCTGGTCCAAATCAGTTGATGAGCTTGTAAACTTGTAGCTTTTCCCTGCGATTTAGTTTCTTTTCATATTGAGGAAAATCCAAATGAACCAAAATGCATCACTACAAATTACATGAGAATGTTCAGTCCGGTCATTAGCCAGATGTTGCACTGGTCATCTATAGTACTTTGCTGCATCCCAGATTGCAAGTTTTTTAGCTCAAGCTTAATATTTTCTCTTCAGTAATGCCTGAAATGAGTGACTGAGTCCAGAAAGTCAGCAGGAAAGTGTTTACAGAACACATACCCGGGGTGACCATGGCGCTCGGGGATGGGAAGCGCATCTGTAACCGGAAGGTTGCCGGTTCAATCCCCGGGCTCTCTATCCTGGTCGTTGTGTCCATGGGCAAGACACTTTACCCTACTGCCTACTGGTGTTGGCCAGAGGGGCCGATGGCGCGATATAGCAGCCTCGCTTCTGTCAGTCTGCCCCAGGGCAGCTGTGGCTACAACTGTAGCTTGTGTGAATGTGAGAGTGAATGAATAATGGAGTTGTAAAGCGCTTTAGGTGCCTTGAAAAGCGCTATATAAATCCAATCCGTTATTATACCCATCCCATATACTTCTATAGGACCTAAAGTTGTTTTGTCTCCCCCCTATCTCCCCCCACCACTTCCCCTGCCGGGGGCGGACTCCCTCAGACATCGGTGCGTTGGTGGTTCTTTGTGTCCGGGGGTGGGCGTCC